TAGGGTGCCAATGCCATTGAATAATACTCCATCCGTTTCAATTTATGTGTTAAACTCATTTGACTGGATACGGAGTTTAAGAAAAGAGATAAGACTTTTGAATTTATGGTATAAAATGATGCACACATATTTTGTGTGGCTATAAATCATTGTATAAAGGTAAATTATTTCGAAATAAGGAAAGAGGTCATTCTTTTTAGCACGGAATAAAAATAAAATAAGTTCACATAAATTGAAACGGATGAATTACACATATTTGTGGGCTCACAATCTTTTGTTATTCAGGAATAAACAGCAATATGGTCAGCTAAACGGGAATAATACTAGTACCTCCTTTGGACACTTGTCACTAGCCAACCTACAAATTTTTACTGGCAAAATTTGTGACCGCGTAGGTCTTTGGAATGTCCAAATTCCAGTCATAACTTTAAATGTATATTCCCTTTCCATCTTTTTCTGATATGTTGTTATTCACATGTAATTGTGGCTCTTAAAATTCTGCTCTTCCAACTAGTGAAATCCACCATATATACTTGTCAAACACCTAAATCCAAGAAGAGTACAAATAGCACAAAAACTAGGGTGTTTGTTGCTTTTTATATACACAATATTTCCCTAAAAACACAAAATATTACAGAACAAGAAATAGAAAAATGGTGATGTCTACATTGCTGAAATTTCTATACCCTCCACCACCTTCTCTTTTCATTACTACAATGTCTGTTATAAGTGTTGCTTCTTTAGCAAATGCTGGATTTTCTGAAATTAAAGGAAAGCATATGCAGTATTCCAAGTTCTTTGTATCAACTAAAAGTGAAAATGAGAAGAAGGCAAGAATTGGGAGTAAAAAAGGCATGCTTTTGTTGTATAGCCCTGCATTTCTTGCTGGTCTTGCTTCTTTTGCCATTTTCCCAAATGAGGATCTTAGATTTGCTTTGGTTTCTTCTGCTTTAACCATACATTTCTTCAAGAGAGTCTTAGAGGTACTGTTCAAAAAGTTTCTTTTAATATTACTTTTGATATTTTTAATTTGCTCTTTTCAGTTAGGTGTTTGAACTGATTTTGATATAAAAATTCTTTATATTGTCACTACATAACAGCCATTAAACTCTAAGGGATCGTTTGGTACAGAGGCGGATGCAATGTATCGGCACCATGTTTAATTGAACCCATTATTTTTGACGCGAAGCATAAATTTATGTGTAAAAATTCATTAATATCGCAATAAATAGCAATTTGAACCCATAACTTTAAAAAAATAATGGATTCGATGCTAAAAACCTTAAAGGTTCAACCCATAAAATTTAAATCTTAGATCCGCTTCTGGTTTGGTAGGATGTATTAGGGCAAAATAATATATGTATTAGCTTTGATATTATTAGTTCCTTGTTTGGTAGTATTTTTCAACCTATGTATAATTAATACGTGTATTAGTTATACATCCTATTTGGTATTAATCTAGAATAACTAATACATTGCACACTATGACATTAGTAATACCATGATTTTTAATACAACAAGCATATGTATACCCCGTATACAATGCATGTTATTTTAATACACCAAATCATACAGTAGATAAAAAATAATTACAACATAACTAATTTCAACATTACTAGTACACTATATTTAGTATTATTCTAATATACCCTGCCAATGGCCCATTACAGTTTGAGAACAAACGAGGTCTACCATGTGTTTTGGTATTGTGAATGAATGTAGCCTTTTGGAAAATCTAGACTAGTTTAATTTTCATGTAGCTAGATGTGCATTTATGATTTAGAGCATGTAGATCAAGAATGAGTGTGATCTTAATATATATATATACTTAGTAGGGGTGTACAAATTAAACCGACAAACCGCACCAACTCGATAATCCGAGTCAAATCGAGAAAAAAAACCCGACTATGGTTTGGTTTGATTTGGTTTGGTGTTGAAAAAAAAAAACCCGACCATATTTGGTTTGGTTTAGTTTTAACTAAAAAAAGTCAAACCGAAACCAAACCAACCCGACATTATATGTATAGAAGTTTTAAATATATTTAATACATAAAAATATTTATAGTGTAGTTTATAAATATTTTTAACCTTTTTCATAGTTTTATCTTTTAACGTATTATTTCAAGCTTGGGCTTATAATTTTTAGATGCTCCAATAAGTTTTATAGTCCATAAATATTACTAACTCAAATAAATTTTAAACCAAAATCAAATTAATACTAATGCTAATAAAAAAATTCAATTCAATTGTACTATGAATGAAAATAGTATTGGATATCTATTTTTTTTAGTTTTTTTTATAGTTTAGATAAAATGTATAACTTACTTTTCTTTTAGTGGTTAGTCATGTAAATAATAGTATTTATTAGTCATAATTTTAAATTATGTTTGATTTCATTATGGCTTATTAATAATATTTATTTTATGCGATTTTATTATCTTTATTGTTGAATATTTTAGTACAATATCATGACTCATCTCATATTTATGTTATTTTATTGAAAAATATCTTATATAGTTATGTCTTACTAGGATTAAAGAAATATTTGGAGCACAAATTTTACGTTTTGTGCTATGAAGACTTTATGGGGAAAAAATCGAAAAAATCTTAAAACCCGAAAAATCCGAGAAAAACCGAGATAAAAAAACCCGACTTTTATTGGTTTGGTTTGGTATTTAAATTTAATAACCCGATACAATTGGTTTGGTTTGGTAATTAAAAAATCCGAACCAACCCGACCCATTTTCACCCCTAATACTTGGAGCGAAAGGATGGTACAGTTGAGCCAACAGAACCTGCTCTGAGTCTTCCTCTGCGTTGTTATAATAGCTATTTCAAGATTAAAGCTTTATATTATCTTGAACAAATTCTAATGTCTTTGCTTTGTTGATACTAGGTCCTATTTGTTCACAAATACAGTGGTTCAATGGATGTTGAGGCTACAACAGTAATATCATTTAGTTATTTCCTCTCAACAGTTACCATGATTTATGGTCAACACCTTAGTCAAGGTTTGCCTGAGCCATCCATTGATCTCAAATACAGTGGATTCATAATATTTTTGGTTGGTATAATTGGTAATTTTTACCATCATTATTTGCTCTCAAATTTGAGAAACAAGGGTGAAAAAGAGTATAAAATCCCTCAGGGTGGTCTATTCAATTTTGTCATATGCCCGCATTACCTCTTTGAGATTCTTGTTTTTGTTGGAATTTCTTGCATTTCTCAAACATTATATTCTATTTCCTTTACTTTGGGCACAATGTTATACTTGATGGGGAGGAGCATTGCTACAAGAAGATGGTACCAGTCCAAGTTTGATGATTTTCCTAAGAATATCAAGGCACTCATTCCTTACATATTTTAGTCTATTTTTTAAGGACCATCAATTTTTGTTAATGTACCTATGTCAAACAAGCACATGATTATGCTATTTTTTGTGCAGATACTTCAAAATGTATTGCATTTTAATATAAATTGAGCGATTTTTGGCAGATACTTCTTCTTCAATATGTTGTTGTGTTGAATTCAATATGTTCTCCCGTAAAGTAAATAGTTCGGCCCAATTTTAGGAGGCAAACGATGAATTTTTCTTGTATTTGTAGTTCACTATTACAACAATAACATATTCAGTGTAATTTCACATGTGGGATCTGGAAAGAGTAAGATATACGCAGACCTTAGCATTGTAGTTCACTATTGAGAAAAACATCAACCAATCCACCTTCAACGGATCTCAGATATGGAAAATATGAGTTTATAGGCTCTTAGCTAATTGGATGTTATACTTTTGGGAAAGAATTGTGAAAAGATTGACTTTTGACCAATTACGAGAATCATTTTTAGCCACTATAGTTCACAATTAAAATACGAACAAAATTATTTCTTAAATCATCTTAAATCAACTATTATTGTCAACTTATTTGATATTCTCTGACTTCCAAATTAACTATCCTTATCTAAATTTTTGGTTCGAAAAATAAAAAAAATTGGGTTGTCACGGAATTGTGCCCACTTCTCTCGAAGTAAAGGTTAATCTTTATACCCTTTATACTTTTCAATATTCTACTGTCAAAATAGTATTTTGTATCACACTTTATTTTAAAGAATGTTCAGTTTTTACAAAAATAAAATAGCTTTATCTTTACTTTTGGACTCAATTTCTTTGAAATAAAAAAGAAATTCTCAATTTCGCGGGGCTTATTTTTTAACGGAACCCCTAAATCAGAAGGGAGGGAGGTATCAATACCATTTCGAACCAGTTCAGAGAATAAAACCTGTTTGTCTATAATTTTCTTCTTCTTTTTTTTTCGTTCTTTTTATCCATTAAATTTTGTAAGTTTTTGATTTTCTTTTTGAAAATGAGTTTTTCAAAATCTTTTTTAATTTTTTTTCACTTACAAAGCTGCAATACTTTTTCACGTAAAATACATGTTCAAATATAATTTTAAATTCCAAATATAATTTTTTGACTTAACTCCAAAAACTACTTATTTTCAAAAATTACTATAATTTTTATGTCTAAATTTATTAAACGCCTACTCAATAACGTAATGAGAAAATGGGGACCAAATTTAAGTGCGTGCCAAATGGGTAGCTACAGTCTCGTTTCCCCCCCTACCTTTTGTTGGTCCGTTCTCATCAATGAAAAAGGGGAAAATATGTTATCCAGAAAGTCAGTCCAACAAAACCTGGGATTAAGATTATTTATCGTTTTGTGTCTTGGAATCTTTGGAGCTATAATAAATTTGTCTCAGTGTAATCTATATGTTATGAGTTCGAGCAGTAAAAATATTCACTAATACTTGTATTAGGATAAATTATGTACATTATACCTTTTGGGGTACGACCCTTCTTCAAACCCTGCGTGCATAAGGAATGCTTTATGCACCAGAGAACTTTTTATCTTTTTGTGGCTTATTTCTTTACATAGTAAGTATTTCACATTTTCTTATTGGTCAGCCATTTGTAAGATGCTCTTGGCCTAACCACTTCAGTACCCATACATTTCACTCTGTCCTTTTGTTCCCCTAATCCAATAAAAATACATCCACACATCCTCCTAAAGAGAAAACAATAGAAACATAGGAAAAATACCAGAGAGGAAGTGATGCCAATGACACAAATATTTAGAGAAATATTATTTCAAGAACCAAGTTTAATTTTCAACAAAATCATGGTAGTGATGAATTTAGTATTTTCTGCAATATTGGGTATTTCAGAAGCTTTTGGAAAACAGAATCTTGAATATTCAAAGTTCTGGAATTTGAATTCTAAGAAGCAAGTCAAAGCTAAGGTCCCAAGTAGAATGGGAATGCTTATAGCTTATACCCCTAGTCTAATAGCATGTCTAAGTTTCTTTTGGATCTTCCCAAATGGCGGAATCAGATTTTTCATGCTCAACTCTGCTATTGCCCTTCACTTCTTCAAAAGAGTTCTTGAGGTAAATTACCCTTTTCTTTCCTTTCCTTTCCTTACTACCATTATTAAAGAATTTAAGTTATATATACTGATAATGTAAATAAATAATTTTTACAATATCAATTCAATCGAATCGATTACAACACGTACTTTATCAAGTTTGCTATGAAAATTTATACTTCATCCTAAGTCAACTTAATCCGACAACAATGGAAGAGCCACAACCAATAAAGGGGTTCAATTGAAATCTCTTAGTTGGAAAATCACGTAAATAGGGGAAAAATAATTTTTTTTTGTATATATATAAACTTTTAAATCCTCTCGACATTAGAGAAGGTTTCATTGTAGTGGTAAATGTAGTCCAAATATTGCTTTAGGTTTCATGTTCAAATTTTTTGAATTGTTTATTAAAATTCTTGGCTTCATCGTCATTGCCTGTCAGTGTAAAAATCTATGCATTGTTAGGGGTCGTTTGGTAATGTGGATAAACAAAAATAATCCAGGAATTAAAATTTAGTACCGCCTTATTTCTTATTTGGTTACTAAGTTTGAAATAAATTATAGTACTCTGATAACTTATTTCTGCTAGAGGGTGAAATTATAATCCCAGGCAAAGTTGATAATCTCAGGATCAATACAACATGTTAAACGGTCCATAAGCAATAATACCAGAATAATAAATCATAACATAACCAATTTTAATATAACTAATCCATCATAACTAGGGCTGCTTATCGGGCGGATTGGGCGGTTAATTATTCTTAACGGTTTGGCTTAACGGTTATCGGCTTTTAAATGTATTAATCCGCTAGCCACCCGATAAGATATCGGGCGAATTGGTATCGGTTTAGCTCTTATCGGGTGATTATGGGGCGGTTTATCGGCCTAATGCAATCTATATTGCGTGCATTAATTGTTTGTTGACCGTCTAGCATACAAATTCAGAATAGGAAATTACACATTGAGTCCAGACATACATGTCTGTTAACGCCTACATAAGAATGATGTAGTGTGTCATGTGTTGTAGAGTGAAAAAAAGCAAAACACATTGTAAGCTACATTACATCCCAAAGCAGACTACATATGAGTCCAGACATACATGTCTGTTAACGCCTACCATTAAATCCCAAAGCAGACTACATTACATGAATCCAAACATACATATGTCTGTTAACGCCTAGCATATTAATTCAGAATAGAAAATTCCAGTCTATATTCAAAGTGAGTCCAGAATAGATATTTCAAAATGATTAATCCATAAGTGAGCAGTCTACACAGAAATGTTTGGCCNATTTTGAACACCCCTAATCATAACTTGTCAAATCAAGCGACCCCTTAGTGCATATAACTTAAACTAATATTAAAACCTTTGGAATGTTAGCACTTTAGAATAAGCTTGAGAACAGGGTGGAATGCACCGTAGAAACATCGAGTTCAACTAAACCCAGTACTTTCGATGCGGAGTATAAATTATGTGTAAAAAATTACTAAAATTATAATAAATATGAACCCATAACTTTAAATGTTGAACTCATAGAACTAAAATTCTAGATCCGCCTATGCTTAAGAGTAACATTTTACATATTTTTGCAGGTTCTGTTTGTGCACAAGTATAGTGGTGCCATGGCTATGAACTCTGCAATTACTATTTCCTCATCCTACTTGATGGCCTTTTCAAGCCTAATATATATTCAACATTTGACTGAAGGATCATCAGAGCCAAATATTGACTTGAAGTACCTTGGTTTTATTGTATTTATGGTGGGAATTATTGGCAATTTTTATTACCATTTTCTCCTTTCTAATATGAGAAAAAAGGGTGAAAATGGTTATAAGATTCCCAAAGGTGGCCTATTTAACTTAGTTATATGCCCTCATTACCTTTTTGAGATTGTCACATTTCTTGGGTTTTCTCTTATTAGTCAAACTTTGTTTTCTTTTTCTTCTACCATAGGCACATCATTTTATTTGATGGGGAGGAGTTATGCTACTAGGAAATGGTACCTATCCAAATTTGAAGATTTCCCTAGAACTGTCAAGGCTTTAATACCTTTTGTATTTTAAATAAATTTACTGTATATCAAAACTGCTATGATCAATTAAGATATCTTGAATTCTTGAGCGTGAGCCAAATCGAGTCGAGCCCATTAATTAAACGAGCTATGTAATATTGAGCAGAGTTGTATACGAGCTTAATCGAGCTTGGCTACAGACCAGGTCGAGCCGAGCACGAGCCTTCTCTTTAAAGTTTGTGTTTGCGTATGCGATTAAACCTTTAGAAAAATAATATTCAGGAAAAAACCATGATATAGAAAAATATACTGAATTATATAAGTAATTAGTTTATATGTGTATTGTATTTGATTGCGGTTAAACTGAATATAGAGCATATCATTGAAAAACAATTAAGCCAAAAACAAATTAACAATAAAAAAACTTTGTAGTTAATTAAACTACATTAATAATTTGAATTATTAAACAAAACATTATTTATATTTCATGTCACTATAAGTATAGCTTAAGTTTCAATCTGATTATTGAAAATGTAATTATATCGCGTAGCGAAACACACACACACATATATATACTTTCAATAATCTTAAATGATTATGGGGACAAAAAATTAATTATTAAATTTATGTTATAAATAGAATTATATTTAAGGTAAATGTCTATATTTTAGAGAGATCTTAGGGTTTGTTACTTGGTGACTAAGTCACTTTTTCCCTATAAATAGAGGGGTGGTCCTATTCCATTGTGACCCAACCGGTCATTTTGACTTTTAGAACCCCGTTTCCTAAAATAAAATTTTTCGTATGTGCTTTTAATGATTTATGACTTGCGGGAATGGTTGGTTCGGGATTTGGAAGTGTTTGGGTTGAAATCGGAACATTTGGTTCCTTAAGTTGGCTTTAAAAGGCCAAGTTTGACTTCGGTCAACATTTTGAGAAAACGACCCCGGAATAGAATTTTGAGGATTCCAACAGCTCCGTATGGTGATTTGTGACTTAAAAGCGTGTTTGAAATTTTATTTGGAAGTTCGTAGTTAAATTAGGCTTGAAATGGCTAAAATAAGAATTTAAGTTTGGAAGTTTAACCGGAGAGTTGACTTTTTGATATCGGAGTCGGAATCCAGTTCTGAAAATTTTCATAGATCCATTATGTCATTTATGACTTGTGTGCAAAATTTGAGGTCAATCGGACTTGATTTGGTAGGTTTCGACATCGAATGTAGAAGTTAGAAATTTTAAGTTTCATTAAGCTTGAATTGGAGCATGATTCATGGTTTTATCGTCGTTTTATTTGATTTGAGGTTTCAAATAAGTTCGTATGGTATTTTAGGACTTGTTGGTATATTTGGTTGAGGTCTCGAGGGCCTCAGGTGAGTTTCAGATGGTTAACGGATCAAAAGTTTGACTTAAAAAGCTGCTGCAATTTTTCTCTTCTGCTGGATATTCTGGGCTGTGATCGAGCCTAAGATCGAGCCCAGGTCGAAGTCAGGGATAAGGCTTAGGATCGAAGGCCCAACTCGAGTACCATGATCAAAGGCCCAGGCTCGATGCCATGATCGAAGCCCAGGCTCGAGACCATGACCGAGGCCCAGGCTCGAGGCCATGATCGAGGCCATGACCGAGGCTCATGCTCAAGGGCCATGATCGAAGCCACGATCGAGGCCCAATTCCGAAGGCTGCCTGGGCAGATCTATAAAGGAGGGAACTTCGTCCCATTTGCCATTTTTGACGAACGTGAGCTTGAGCAAAAGCAATTTTTGGCATATTTTCAAGGAAAAATATTTAGGTAAGTGATTCTAACTCGAATTTGGTCAATATACACGAATATATCATTGTTTTCACTATTTAATTAGAGAATGGAGATGAAAATTTGGGAAATTTTTAGAAATCTCATAGAAACAAATTTTTGAGATTTCGGTATCGATTCGGAGTCGGATTTGAGTGAAACCGGTATGGTTGGACCCGCAATTGAATGGGTTTTCGGATTTCGTAACTTTCGCCGGATTCCGAGATACGCCCCCCACAAACTAATTTTTAATTAATTTCGGATTTTTATTGAAAAATATAATATTTTCTAATGGAATTGATTCCTATAATTTTTAGTGATTGTATCGAATTATGTTGGTTAGATTCGAGCCAGACAGAGTTGGATAATCGTGGAAAAGGCCTTCAAGTGGATTAAATTAGAGCAAATAGAGGTAAGTCTCTTGTCTAATCTTGTGAGGGGAAAATTACCCATAGGTAATTAAGGTAATAATTATTGCTAATTGTGGGGGCTACGTACGCACGAGGTGACGAGAGTCCGTGCGTAGCTATTATTAAATGCTAAAGTCCAGGTAGTTTGGGACTCAAAACATGAATTACTTGTGTAAATTATATTCTTTGTTTAATTAATATTAATTAATATATATATATATATATATATATATTATGAATTGTTAGATAAAAATATTAAGGGATGCAAATCTCATATGCTTAATTTTTTTATTTAAATTAATTAATTGTTAAGAGAAATTGTTCATCCTCTCGAATTGATCTTAATAAATATACTCTCTTTCCGAAGGTACATAAGAAAATATCCTCCTTTCTTGTGGAGTGGGCCGAACGCCTCGGCAGGATAGATGTATCTATGGATCGCGCCGCACGTCCCTCGACAGTGCACACGACACTCTGGATCGGGCCGTACGACCTCGACAGAAATCGTGCCTAATAATAATAATTACACGATACTTGGATAGTTTATTGTTGCGATCAAACACACTCACGCAAGTATACATGGTCGTCAGGTAATATAGTAGTGAGTAGAATATCGTTCCCACGAATACTTATGATTAACTTTTGACTAACTCAAACTCAAATAACTTATCGATTCAAGCGATTTCTCACAAAATAGATAATTTTCTAATTTACTACCTAAAAACTATCAAGTAATGAAATACTANCATAAGAATCTGTCGAGTCCTTACTCGCCTATTTAAGCTAACTTAATACCTATATGTCTATGGAATTAAGATTAACAAGAACGCATTTACAATTCCTGTATTGCAACCGAGCAAGGCAATCAGGTATATTTCTATCCTAATTGCGAATCCGTTCCCCGATGCCCGGGTTTAAGAACTTGCTCTATTTAATTCTATATGCAATCTAGAATTCTCACTTTCGAGTTCAACTCTAGATTCGTAGATAGTATTTCACTGTTAGCTACTTAGTAAAATAATTAAAAATAGAATTAAATAAACAACCCAATATGATAAAATCAACTTCGTCAAATTAAACTTCAAACGTCAACATTCATGTATACCCATGACCCTAGAATAATAGAGTTCTTAGCCACTCATGTTCATGCAATCATCAAATAATTCACAAGAGTGCATAAAAATCAATAAAAGTAGGAAAAAATAAGAACTCAAGACGAATTCCGTGGTTTCCAAGCTTTGTCGTGGCTTTTCCCCCATCCCAATATATTAGATGACCTAAAAGAGGCATTTTTGGCTTATATATTGCGTACAAAAGTCGTGGGCCAAAGTTCTCCAAGTCCTAATCCAAATCAGCTTCAGGGATTGATGCTGGGGTGGATGCTTCACATCCACATCGTCCTCCACTTCTCAGCTTTGCATGCCAGGGTAGATGCTTCGCATCCACCCTTTGTTCCTCCATCTCAGCTTTGCCCAGGTGCGGATGCTAAGGCAGATGCTATGGGCCGACTTCACTGCTAAGGGTGCACGAAATCTGATTTTTTTCTAGATTAGATGTGACGCATCCAACCCCTCTTCCTTTAGCTAGAGCACCTTTAATTCATATTCTTTGCACTCCAAACACCCTAAATCATCACACACAACTCAATTAGTCATAAAACCAATAATTAAACCATGTTGGGCATTTTAAAGATCAAATAGCATCAAAAAGCGGTTAAAATATGAGTAAAGTAACATCAACACATATCGAAATATGCCCAACATCTCCACCCCATACTTAAACCTTTGTTCGTCCTCGAGCAAAATAGAATCAACCCACAACCGATCAAACAAAATTAAGGTTATCGCTATCAAGCCACATATTTTAATTAAGCTTAAGCATCCATGACTTTGGTTGATACCAACAATTAGCCCCTTGCATATGCATTTTCGAACTTTCTTCTCCATGTTGATAACATGCCAAGCACATTATTGAACAGTTCAAACCAGTCAAATAGCATATTCGGGACATCTCAACCTCAGAAACTGACTCCTTAGCATAACTACTTTCAAGCCAATTTACTCACTCTGATTGAAAAGTTTAATAAAGTCGCCTATCCATCATGAAACATGTGCCCTCACCATAAAACAGAGGAAGATAGTCCACACACTCAAATAAAATTTGAATCGTAATTTAAGGACTTCACACAATAGAAGAATTCTCTCACTCTCTCAAAGAAGTTCACATGTGCACAAAAGGTACCATATGCTTGCCCTTAATGTAAATCTCTACTAATGTAAGCTTGCTCGATCTAAAATCAATTAGGACTTTCCATGGTTATAATGTGGGCTAAGGGATGTGTATGATAAATTTAGGAATAGTGGTTCACCCTCCTAAGCACTTTAACATGTCACATGATAACTTAAGCGAAAATGCTTCAATCCCAACTTACATTTTTCAACTAAAATCACTCCCAACAAGGTTTCTTTTTTTCTTTAAGCATTACTTTAATTTGTACCCCACTAGCAAGAACAAGATGTCAATTTATTCTCTTGTTTCTCTTTTTTTTTTCTTCTTCAGATTTTTCTGTCTTTCTACACTTCTAAACTTCTCACTAGTGGTGTATTATTTTACCGAATAAGTGTACCCTTCTTCCTTTCATTGGTTTCACTCAAAAGTCACCCAAATCCCCTATTTACTTCATTTAGCGCTCATTTCATAATTAAAGTATTTTAAGAGGTAAAAGGATCAAAAGTCTCAATTAAGAACAAAAGGGTATAGGCTTGTAATGTGGGTGCCAAATAAAAAAGTCGGCTTACTAGGGATGATTTTAATTGTGGTAGAATTATAGTTTAGAAGGATCAAAGAAGGCCTAAAATCATATTTCAAACCGAGCGAAACCTAGAATTTCGCTTCAACTCACATACCGGAA